ACTTCAACGCGGTAAGTGGTGTCACCTTGAACAAATTTGCGCGATTTTTTGGACCGTCGAAAATAAAGTATCCCTCAATTTTCTCATAAAAACTCCTCGAGCTTACCTGAGCCGGTTTGTGAACGACCGTGTTTCCGGCGGCCAAACAGGCAGCCATTTTCCACGATAGCATCATAAGCGGGTAGTTCCAAGGTGTAATCAGACCGACCACACCAACTGGTTCGCGCTTTGTTAGCGTCAAGTTGAAATTCGGTCGGGCGTTCGAAATTGGGATTGTGTGGCCCTGAAAGAGATGAGTCAGTCCAGATTCACCTTAATACCGTCTATTTTTCGCATGCTCCGCGCCTGTTCCCTCTTCTGTTCTCTCTCGAACTAAACCTGCACCATTGTATTCGGCTTCTCCGTTACCGTTTCAAGGTTCCCATTCCTTATGGATGTCTTGAAGCCGCCCACTTGTGCAGCCGATTGAACTGCCCTCCTCGCACATCGCCAGTGACATACAAATGGGGGAAAGGGGTGCCATTTATTGTAAACTCTAACCTCGATTTTATCGCACCATCCAGCAAAATAGCGCCACACATCGATTGACATTCCTACGTGCGTCTTCAGTGCCAGCGTATAGACCGCTCCTGCGTCGAGTGACTCAAGTGTGGCCAGTTCCTCCTAAAAAGACCTCTAGACCAAAATGTAGATCAAAACCTAGATTGTGAAATTGTGCGGTGATGATTCTATCCACATCGATTTTTAAAAAAATCTATACAAAACACAATACCTTGTGTTCTTCCATCAGGTCGGCCAGTTTGTATAGTCTCTTTCCACGATCACGAGCCGACATTTTTCGCCACTCACCATTTTCAAAAGCCTAGAATAGAATTTCGAAAACGTTTCATTATGGTACCACAGCCAGGCCTTATCTAGGTGTGAAACGCCTCATTTCACTTATGGGAGGAGGCAGCAGGAAAGGGGGGGGGAGGCGAAAGACTTCCGCTCAGGTAAGGTACCGCAAGAACTTGTTCGGCACCAAATAATGGAGAAAGTGGATGCTTTGGACTCTTACACTGTACACTGCTCTCAACCACTGCATGCTGCTCGCGATCTTGGTTGAACCTTAAGGTCGTCAAATGACATCTAGGGAGGGGGAGGGTGTAGTTCAGAACATCCCATTATTACAGTATTCGCTTTCTAGTGCACCTGACACGCCACAGCATTGAGTCCTAGTGCGAATGACTAGGATCAGAGTGAAGAACATTTCGCTGCCGTTGCCGAGAGACGGACAATAATTTGGTCGCGTGTGGTCGTGCGCGGGGCGGTGTGCGGCAATGCGCGGCAAACCCTCAACCTTCACCTATTTGGCGGATGAACCAGTGGAAATTGTGAATTGAAGCTTAGACGATACTCCCTGAGGGGCCATATCAAATTTTCCAGTCTCTCTGAGACTCAAATTTAAACGCAGCAGACACTTTATCGGGTGCGGCATTGCGGCCATCGCGGCATATTTCGATTGTCTTGACACATTTCCGCGCTGGCCATATTTCGGTTGCGTCGAAAGACACCCCTTTTCGAGGCTAAAATCATTGAGGGCCCCATTGGCCAGGCATTGCTGCAAATGAGCCAGTAGAAGGGAAGTTTTTGATTGACAATAGTTGCTTCAAACTTAACGGGAAAACTTACGGTTGCTGCAGCGACCGCTTTGTTCAAGTCGTTGACGTCTGCTTTCGGAATTTTACAGATCACTGACTCGTCATTAGGGTTGATAGTGTCGTACAGCCTAAATTGACATACGGTAATCAAATTTTGAAGCACCGCAATCAGCTCCTAATAAATGACCACTACCTTCCACTTGCTGATTGCACGAACTTTCCATTAATAAACATTTCATGGGGGAACTTGAGTTCCATACCGTTTAACGTTCATCACAATCTGGAAAACACGTCGTCGTAGGTTTGGGAACCCTGATATTACATACGTTGCAGCGATCTTCAGCACATGCCACTGCTCTCTAACTCACCGGGTCATATGCACGTTAATTGTTGTCAGCACTCCACGAAAGTTTTCCTTATCACAAAGTAGTCAACGCTTTCTCGAATGTCGGGCCATATAAAACCTACTAATCCCAGCGATGCAGCAAGAAAGGCATATCTTCATTATTCGAGGAATGCCGCCTATGCATATCATATGATCCCTACAATGAAGGGACGAAGCTCTAGAAACTGAAAAGTGCGTTCAAGCCAACATACATAAGAAAAAAGTATTCGCAATTTGGCGGCAAAACTCGCTGTGTTCTCAAGTTCGGCTTTTGTATGGAATTTGACTTCTTCGCAGAGACGAGTAACGTCGGCTGAACTTCCACCTGATTCGAAGAAGTCCGTCTCTTCTGACACCGGCTGCTTCAGGATCGATTCCCAGATTTTCTGCAACAAGCAATGAAAGTTATTTATTTCGGCCCCTACCTGGGAGCTTTAAGAGTTTTTATTTTGATGAAACAGACCTTGACAATCTCGACGATTTTCTTTTCTTCTTCTGTGTAAACCAGCTTCTCGCCTTGCTCTTCTTCCAGACCGTATTTATGGGCTGGCATCGTTTTCGATCCGACTTTGATCGTGTCAACAGTGACCTGAATGGTAACTTGTCTTAACCACACCCTTTCTCCCTTATATAACGCGCGAGCTCGGTTGAGCACGGAGCTCTATATGGAACCCTTCAGGAGGGTTTTTCTGCTTTTTCTCCATTTTGTGATATTTGCAACCCTGTTGGTGGTGTTTACAACTAACAACATACCATTTTTTGACGCGGGGCCTCTGAGAAACTGGTGACCTTGCAACTGTCTGACCCCTCATTTCGTGTTTCCGAAATAGTTCCAAAATTACTCACCAACCCATCGCTCTGGCACAAGGACCCGAGCCTCGATGCACGTATACCTTGCCACCGGGTATCTCGGCGACTTCCACTTCACGAGAGTCTGGTGGCGGAACTTTGCTACGCCACATTTTGCTTCCGAACATAGTGACTCTCTCGCCGTTCATCGTGGCCCATGCTCCTGGCACCTGCAATGAAATGAGTACTAATATGACTTTAGACTATCATTTGACTACTACTGAACGCAGCTCGCCACATTCGCATTTTTACTCGATTGAATGTAACAAAGTATTCATTTTTTAATTTGCATCATATATTCTGTTTCCTGAGTCGGGAAAAGTATGCTGAAGAATCCGGAGCCCAAAAGGTTAAAAAAATTCAGCGAAGCGATGCTTCTCATAGATCCGCATTTACCTAAACTCCAAAATCCTGGGATACAGTAACCGCGCTTGTGTAATTCGTTTGAACGTGGGTGGTGGCTGCGCTTTCGGAAGACATTTTCGTATTGCGGACATGCTAGTGCAGTCCATTTAACCACCATAATGCTTACATTTCTGAAGTCGAAGTAGCGGCCTTTAGATTGGAGCGCCAGCAGCCTGTATACCCACCAATTGTTGCGAATTCCGAGGATGCATCATTTGATGGAGCGACCCCCCCCCGGCTACATAACCTCGCTTATAGGGGGACAGTAACTATAACTACGGAATTACTACTGCATCTACGCAAGTGGAACAATCAATTTTTCATTTACCTTATCGTTACCCCTGATGAAGTTGTGCAGTTGTTGCTGTGTCTTTTTCCAGTCGATTTCGGCAGCCTCGTTTGCGGTGATGTATTGTCATAAGAAGCGCCTTCCGTCAGAATTTTTTGAAGCATCCGGAGCCTTTCCAGCGTCTATCAAACTCCCTCGCTTATGCCTGGAAATCAAATTTTTCCTTGCGGATAGCCACACAATAACACTCCGCTCCCCTAACAGAATCAAAACAAGAGCCGTTAATTCACTTTTGCCCTTACGGAGAATTGAATTGCTTACCATGCAGCCGACTCGGCTGGGTTAATGAAACTCGGTAGTCTAGATCGAATTTCAATGTATCATTCTCTTCACCTTTGCATGTCTTTTGCAGCAAATTGGTCCAGTGTCAAATGCCCATCATTCACCCAGAGATTACTCAGGTCCAGCTTCCTCTATCACTTCAATTCAACTTCCAGTTTATCGCTGACGCCTCCCCTGAGAAAGACAGGACAGACGATAATACTAATAAAGTAGCCCAAAAGGCCTTGCACCAGAAGCGCTGGTTATACGTTTGAGATCCATTGCACCGGGATTATAAACTAGTTCGCCCATTCATGCGCTTATGCACTCTCGTCAAATCGTTTAGTAAACCGGTGCGAATGTCGCGCCACTGACATCGTTTTTCACGCTTTTTAACGAAATCAGATCCATCAATCCACACTTTAGTGCGTGATCAGCCACGTCCCATGCCGTTGGCAAAAATTTGCAAATAGGACACCCTCTCAGACTTTCCTTCTCTGAATATCTCCTCCTCCTCCCTTCCTCACACCCATCCTAACTACCACCTTCCTTAATCCTCCCAACTTGCTATCGCCTTCCAACAATTGGACTTCCAGAATCTCCATAAACTGTGTTCAAGGCTCGAGTAGCGGTAGAGCTGTCTATCTCCGAGTGACCAAATACGCCCTACCCCCCCCTGGTTGGATGATATGTGTCGCTGCTGGGTGACACTCTTCGCTGCGCCCTACGAGACAGTGCCCTACCTTGGTGATCCTCTATCTGGCCGACCTATGGGGCCTTCTTGAAGTCTTGTTCAGATGTACTGTGCTTGGAAGAATGGACGATGGTAAATTGATTGTTTTGTATTTGGGAGCCTCTGATGACTTCGATCGAATTGAAATGGCGTACAGAATGCGCAATAGTTATTTCAGCACCATACTGATAAAGTAAGCTTCAGCAGTCGGCATACCAAAATTCAACATCAACATAAGAACGGCTATTCCTTAAAGGGATTAGGAAATGAATTTCCGAATCCGGTCAAGTAGATAATAAATGCACGAATCACCTGGAATTTGCCATCAGCGACCTTTTTCCTCCATCGAGCTGGCTTTTGAACTGGAACGCCGTCTTTTGCGGCTTCGAGCGCTCAAAATTCGGATTGTTTTAAGAATGCGAAATAAACGGCAAAAGACTCCGCCCAAGGCAGCACCCGAACTTGAGCCTCACGCTTTTCTTGCGAGGGAGCTATCGCGCTATCCGTTACGGCACCATGGCCGCTCTTACTTTCTGGGTCAAGGCACTTCCCATAATTGACAATGAGCATTCTTGTGATAACTTTCTGCGCGTGAATTGCGACATTTAATAGCTTCGCTTATTTCTTTCAAAAACCGAGCACCTACCGAGCAAGTCTTCACGACCATTTTTGTCCGGAATCGTGAACACAACTACGACTTCGTGACCATTTTTGCGCAAGGCCTTGTAGACATCCACTCCAAAGGCCGACTGGCCGATCACAGCAATCTTCATCACCTATAATTAATTATTGCTCTATATTTATCGTAATCAACAATTGTGAAGTCGGCAGCACAATATCGGACGAAAGACAGACATATTCCAAAGAGACGAGAATTGAATAACCCTTGAAAACAGCCGAAGGATGAAGAAGCAGGCGGGATATGAAGGGACCGGGATAAGAACTAGCCACAGACCCACACATATCCACTTGAAGAGCATCAGGGGACAAGAGAGATGCGCAGGATGAATTTGAGCAGGACTGTATTGCTGTACTGAACGGAAATCTGAACTATACAGGGAGCTACCTCTCGAACAGTTTGCGGCTTGCAAGTTTGCACGCGCCACGCCCCTGTAGGATTGGCAGGCCCTCCAGCTGAAGGACAGCTCGCGATTGGAAGACGTCATGGTGATTAAAGGAGTTTATTGTTCAACACGTCCGTCAGGTCCCATGTGCAATCTCCTTCAGCCTCGAATGCCAGCTTTACATCTCCCTCCCTCTACCTTATTCCAAACCTTCAGCAAAAAACTGGTTGGTAGAGGAGGGGTATACATTACATTAAGAGCAGAGGAAAGAGTAAGATTCTTTATTCTATCTAGAAATTCTCGCACCCAACAGAGTTTACATAACAACACGGTGTGGACTGTAGGCCAAATACAACCCTCCCTGGAATGACCCGTCGAGAATTCGGCGAAGTTCGGCTTGGTGGTGGCATTTCACTAATTCCTCCAGCAAGGACCTGTACATTCCTGGGAAGCTACGTATTAGCAGGAGCTTCGCTCACACTTGACAAGAGTCTACAGGTCTCACCTAGATGAGATGTGTGATTCAATAGGAACTAGCTTACAAAACTAACGAACGTGCAAAATGCCCTCCCTCCCACTAAGCCGAACAGCGCCGACAGTTCTTCAACCACGGCGATGCCAGCTAGAAGAAAGGCACCTAACAAATAAAGAGGGCTCCAAGCTACAACATCGTGATCACAAAGTGGCAATGCTTAGAGCAACCAAGACCAGAGCGACAGAGCAGTTTGTGAGCTCTACAGTATCCACACACTTTCACCATAACCATTGAAGAGAAGGAACTAATAGTGAGAGCAAATGAATGACATGGATACGAACAAATGAGCTCGTCAATAGGGCTTATCCTGACAATGGGAAACTCCTGCGAAACTCTCCAACCCTCCTACTCGGATTTACTCATTTTGTCCTCTGTTACGACTACCCTTCCCCCCCCCTTCTATTCTACCTACCATCTGTCCGAATCGCAAATTTTCCCGAGTTGCCTACCACATTTCCATAGTCTCTTTCCGAGATTTTCCAGTTTCTCCCCAAGAAGCTGCCGTCGAGCGATGAGGGAAGGGGCGAGGTGGGGGAGGAGGTGCACAGCACACAGGAAATGAAAAAAGCGAGAATAGTCAACAACCAAAAACATTTTACTACCCTTCCCTCCCCCCTACTCGCTGTGCATCCCAAACGTACGGCATGCAGTGCTAGTAATTTCCACGATGATTCTGTTTACTCGAGCTACTAAAAACTCCTGATATGAACATTCTGCTGTGGTCAGCATAGTCTTTGGATTGGAAACGATTTTTTATGTGCCACGTGCACACATGGAACGACAAAGACGGGAACGAACATAGCGCGATCTGTCAGAATGTGATAAGGCAAAGGAATGGCGTGAGATAGCCGTTGTAGGAAGAGCGCAGAGAGGTGAACCTCAGGAAAATGCAAAAGGAAAAGAACAAAAGGTGAAGAAAGTAGGAGAAGTGTGGGAGCGACGAAGTAGAAACTGGAAATAGGCAGATTTTTTTGGATACTTTGATTACAGTCGCAACTCATTCATCACTGATGAAAATGCCAGCGAATTAGTGAGCAGTGTAAATGTTCATTCCGTTCTGGTTCCATATTGGTGGTTCTACCTGAGCAGAGCAGGACTTCAACCTACAGCGAAAGATAGCTGACAGCGTGACAAGCTGTTTCACCCATATTGAAACGAAAAACAATAGCAAAAATTATTTCTCTCGCAAGAGGAAGAGGGACACTTGCGAAGGGGAGAAGAACTCTTTCAGGTCGTGAAGCCCATTTTTAGCTTTTTTCATATGCGGGGATCACGAAAGTGTAGTTCACTTTCGCTGCACCTTTCTGGGAAGGCCAAAGAGAGGTATGAACGAAAGACTGATCATTCCAACCCCCTAAAGTGACATGATCAGCCCCCTGTCCTTTTTATTTCCTTGTGTTCAAGGTCGGAACCTTTTCGTATGGCCAATAGTGTGTTGGAGAAGTCCCGCCTGTATCTCTACGAAGGTCTCAACGACCTAAAAGACCTTTGTTGTCGTCACACGACCTAAAAGACCTTTGTTGTCGTACTCACTCTCCGAGATCGCACTCAGGGCTCAGTAGTACTTGCGTACAAAGCTGAGTGTCGCCCAGGAAAGAAAGGAGCGGTGCTAGCTGATCTGAGGATAGCCTGCCATTGCAATATTTTTCTGAGCACAAACCCAGGGCACATCATTGTTGGGGATTTTAGTCGAGTCTGTACGACCCCCACCCCTTTTTTGGTGGTTGGTAGGACCCCCCTCTCCGGCCAGGAAAAGGCCGCGAGACAATACGACCCCCTCCCAACAATGAGCAAGTACGACCCCCCCCCCTTTACAACGTCCGTGAAGCGAGAAAAATCAACTATCAAAATAAATTTTTCCCAGCCCAAATACGACCCCCTCTCCTGGCGGCCAAATACGACCCCCTCCCCCCGCTGAAGATTCCCCAGCAACGATATGTTCTGTACATACCGCAAGCAGGAGAGCCCTAGGCACCTTTCCGCGCTCACTGTGGGTCCTTCAATCTGCACAAGCCGTGGCTTGCATTGGCAAGGCAGCCAATGTACACTCCATGAGATGGCATAAAGAGAACTAGCACATTAAAGTTGCGTAAAGTGGAGACTGTGCGGAACTAGGAAAGTTAGCACCATCTAGAACTTTGAGAACAAGCCAAAGCAAAAGAAAATAAATCCTCTAGATTACCTGGTCGCTCACCACAAGGAAAGAAGGTTATTATGCAGGCAGTCTGGCAGTTTACTGAGTTCCACGTTAAAGAACGGCGATGCGTGGGGCAATTGATCACGGGCGATTTCCAGCCCTTGATAGCATTCTCAAGTGCCAGCAACGAACTGATTACCGATAGCGGCCTAGTTTTTATGCTAATCAGAAACACTGGCGCCGAATGTGGAACGAAACATGCAGTTGCGATAACATGCAGTGCAACTCCAATCCTAGAATTTCTTAGGACTGTAAAGTGAAAGCTTCATACCTATATCCTATACCTTTATAAGTATACTTCCAAGATTTCTCGTTAACGGTGAAGCTTCTTCCTCAGCCGACCGTAGAACGGCTGTCATTCTGGGTACCACTGCACCATCGAGGCTGACTCCTCTATTACCCTGTCTTCGAAGACAAGTTCCCAGGTGACGGGATCATTGATGAATTCGGTGGAGACTTACAACCGTTGTGGGTTCCGTATTGGTGTGTCCCTGATTTCTCTACGATGTGAATGAGCGGTGCTCCAAGTGAGGAACGGAGCAACAGTCAAGAATCTCCGCCCACTCATTTGCCCTTCGGAGTGTTCCTACACTGGTACACTATCTAGAAAACACTAACAATAACACATAAGTTGTGGCGCAAGGATTACCCAATGCCGAGAATACTTTGTCAACTGTACGACATCTTTACTATTCCTCTTCCTCCATATTCAGATTACTATTTTGACACCTCCACTTCAAATTACTACTTCAGTCCCCCATTTTCAAATTTTCTACCTTTCATGGAATGTTCCCCATGAGGTGTTATGGAGCAAACAGTTGGCATTTACGAGAAAGAACTAAGTGCGTTCCTATTAAGACAGTAAACACCAATATCGTGCAGAACGCATTTCTGGAAAAACGACACGTCTATCTGACGCCGTCACACCTGACAATCACCATTTGGGGAACACGTGACTTCTTATGCTGAAATTCCGAGAAATTTTAGCGTAAGGAATCTTTTAACCGATTTACCGTAGCTGCCAAGAAAACCGTCAGAGGTAGGCGGATGAGGCCGATCGTCTTCGGGGTAGGCTAGCATAACATA